ACCAACCAGGAAAAAAAAAAAAAAAAAAAAAAACGAGGTGCTCTGATTCCTGAGTTCCACCAAAAAAGGTGGGCTGGATATTGGTTTCCAGGAAGTGAGTCCCGTGATGAGAAGGACAACGTGGGGAACGCAAAAACCGTGAGCTAACTAATGAAGGCTTGGACTTGGATGCTAATCAAGTCCACCGTTTCCAACATCTCATCAACTATTGGTACCAACTATTGGATTATTATCCCTAACAGAATTGACACTTGTTGCTATAGGAAAGTTCCTTGACTGAACTAGTAGGAAGCTCGGGGCTGTTTGGGAGGGTTTATTTTTTGAGAATTTTTTTTTGAGAGCTTGTAAGTCATGATGGCCTCCGATGGCTTTTGGTCAAATCTAGTTTATTTATATGAGCTTATAAACTACTTTTTCGAAAGATGAGGAATCCCAACTTCTTTTAAATGTTAACGGCAATATATGGAAAAAAGACAGCTTAAAAAACTAGTTTGACTGAAAAATAAGCTCTCCCAAATACCCCTAAGCTTAGTTTTCTGTTTCGCTTGTATCAAGCTTATAACATAAAGGGTACATGTCAAATTTATGAAAACAAACGCCTCTCACTCGTGGAATTGCAAATTGTCCAAAGTGGGTAATGAGATGATCAGAGTATTATTTTGCCAAATAAATTATCTTAAGTGCAAATTGCAAATTGCCCAAAGTGGGTAATCAAAATTACAATCCAAATGCCGCAAATGGCAATTGGAGAATAAAAGTTTAGGTGTCCCGTGGTACAACAAAGTTTCTTAGATTATTTTTTGTAAACATGTAGCTGCATAGAGAAGAAAGCTCTAAACAGGGCCAGAATTTTTGTGATGATCAAGATGTTCTTCAACCGTATGTCTATGGGTAAAAAAAAAAGAAATTATCTCGAAGAAAATCTTTGGCAGAGAACCGACGCCAAAGAAAATGTATATTGTGTGCACTCATCTATTTACTTAGCCTTCGTCAAGAAGGGAATTTCACTGAGATTGTCTTCAAGTCATTATCCTGCCCTTTTCAGTGTGGTTGTTGCAGATTGAGTTCAAGCGCGATAACTCAAAAGTATCGCAGATAAAATAGGCAATAGAAGGAGCAACAATAGAAGGGTAATTTGTGGTGATGATTAAGAAATGACATTGTCCGTGGAAAACAAGTTGCCTCCAATTAAAAAACTAAAGACCGACTCAAAGAAAATGTGTATTATGTGCACTCAAGCATTTACTTACTCTTTGTCACAAAGGGAGTTGCACTGAGATTATGATGGTTGAGGTCACCATCCGGCCCTTTTCATTGTGGTGGTTGTTGCAGATTGAGTTCAACCGAAGCAATGTGCAAGTGATGGAAGCCAATGAAAGCAAATTTGAAGACCCCCGTTGGAATCTAATCAACCTTCAGGGGGTTAACACCTGTGAGGTGTGAACAACAACAACAACAACAAAGTACAAAGTGCAACATTTACCAGAAAACAAATTAAAGGGACATTGAACTGGGGAGTCCTGGGATGAAGCTTATATAGTTCAGATTCGAGAACGAGAATGAATGGTTCTGCTGCGGGACCACATAATCTGCGTATTGTTGGTTTAGAAATGAGTCAAATACTTTCCTAGGTTGTTTTCAGGGTTTAAACTAATAGGACCGATAAGCCATCATAAATGTTTGCACTGGTTCACTGATTAGACAATAACAAAAACAAGGCACAGGTTTGGTCTATAGCTTCACATACACATACAGACACGTGTACGCACCTGCACGTATACATATGTGTGTGTAAACTAGAATGTAAAGTACGTATATCGCACTACAGCAGACTAAATATTGTCATCGAACTAAAAAAAAAGGATTAATCACGCAGGAGTTTAAAACTGCATGATACAAACACCAATGACACACATCAGACTTTTGTATGCGCTTTGAAGTTAAAATTGGATGAATAACATAACACTGATTAATCATGCATAGCGTGCGTGCGAGATTGGCAGAGGAAAACCACCCGAAGCACTAGACCACTAGAAATTAGACCACAAGCATTATAGCAACGGCATCTCTGAGTTGGCAATAGCTCTTTAGCTTGACTATGTTAGGATAGCAGGCTAACAAAGCACCTAAAATATGTATATCCATCAGCTCAGCACCCATATATTGAGATTAGACAGAAACGAATCAATTTTCGTTACTCAAGAATAATCTAATAAAGAAATACAAGCAAATCTTACAATTGAAGCACATAAAGGTTGAATGCGGACCTCCAGGAAGGATAGAGCTTTAGATGGTGGAACGTAATGTAGGACGAGATCAACTGTATGGGCTGACGTGGAAAATTTGGCAGCTTGGCTTGTATGACTTCTTGATTGCAGCCTGCTCGAATTTCTTCATGGCTATTTCATTTTCTTCTAAGCCTGTCTGGAAAAAATATCTGACCCACCAAGAAGCACTCCGATGCTTGGCCTTCGAGACAATAAGGCCAATAATGTCAGGCTTCTCATTAGAGAATTACTAGTACGGAGGCTTTTAAAATTCAAAAATGTTATGCGGTTTACAAGAAGGAATAAAGCATTATTAGAAAATTTCTGATGTCAGGCACCAATAGAACAGATATAGTACTAGATATATGACATATATCATATAATGACAACTGACCAGGAAGGTCGATAATATTAACATTGGAAGAAACATTACTAACTGATCCATTTCACCTGCAACAGTACATGATGATATGATAAGGTATAAGCAGAAAATATTTTGCAATATTATTTCTAACATAGACTACATAAACCAGAAATTTTTTGGTATAATTACAGCAAATGAATTTTTTTTGGCAATACAACAGAGCATACAGCTTCCTAATATTAAAACTCTTACTGAATTTCAAGTGAATTTAATGGCATGAGAAACCCATTAATTACACTTAAAAACCTCAGTATAAATGAAATTACAACCTTAGTTGGACACCAAACTATTTATATTAGTAACATACAAAATTCTATACAAAGATATGGATCATAACACATGAGCTTCGCCTTAATTCCCTTTTTTCGTTAACTCGTTTTAGAACCATTAGTCTGATTAACATCAGTTAAATAATTTTAAATAAAAAACAGCTTCAAACAAACTGATAGAAAGGAAGAATTGAGATAAAGCCTTTGAGACCTGGTCAGAAATAAACATTTTGCTGAAATACTAATATTATGGTTATCTTGCAGCACACTTTTGCTTCTTCACTCACATCTGAATTTAAGATTAACCCTATCATGCACGCATCACACAGACTCCTGACGTTTCTGAAAAACAGATGGAATATTCTATACGAAATTTCTTTACTTCCATGTGAAGAGATTTTTTACCTTAACATTTATAATTATATTGGCAATAAAGATTTTTCCTTTTACTCTGATGTTATATAATTATTGAAAGGAAGTTCTGCATATGAACCACATCCTCCAATAAAGTAGAGTCATGTTGAAATTGGTTAGCCATTTTAAATCACGAGATTAATACAAAAAAATTCAAGCGACCTAGAATGAAAGAAGGAAAAGGGATGGAAATGACATATTTGATTAGTCACAGTAGATGCATAGAGAAAGAAGGATATAGAAGACGCCGAAGATTCTGAATAAATGCAAGTTATTATTGCTGTTATCTATAAGAAACCCTCTGGTTCTTATTCAAACTATAAGCACACTCAAACAAGCATATGACAAGTTGTATGGGGGCCAGTCATTAAGCAGTTTCCTGGTCAATTGCAACTTAAAACTTCAGATAAAAAAAAAATGATATAATAAGCAACCAACCCCCCAAAAAACAAGTTATTGATGGCAAACCAAATATTTGACAGTAAACGAATAGCCACTATTATAGTTTAATACTTACCGGCCTTCCAAATTTTGATAGATCAGAAATTTTCGCCCTCTGTTGACCGGGATAACCTACAAACAAATCGAAAGGAATAAGAATATAGATGTTTTATGATTATTCATCATGTTAAATAAATTACAAGAAAAAGATTTACTCTATTTATGCCAACATAAAATTTCACCTCAGAGAAGCTGCTTCCACTATATTATTTCTAACCTTGCTACATGAAATTTATTTATTTCTAGTTAAAAGCTACGTTGCTACTTCGACTATATGCCACCATCCAATCTTCTCCTTTCTCCATTTTGTGGTCGTTTCCTCGATTGTCTTTGTGTATGTATACATACATAAATTTGACATTAAATTTTCAGTGAGTATGAATTGTTCATAACATATACAAAAATATGAATATGATGGAGTCCGGTTAGGAATCTTTACACGCAACTCTTAGCAAATTCGGCAAGAGTTAAGCCTGTACATAGAGTTAATTCTCTGCTGCAAGCTGAGTTGGCCGATTTGACTTGATAAATACAATCCCTATTCAGATCAGGTTGAATCTAAGCCTATGAATCTTATCCTATTAGTTCTATGTTTTGAACTTTATTCATTGGGTGCTCCAAATTGAATACCCAAGCTATCAACAAGAATGGGCTCTTTATCTAAATTATAGAACAATGAGGGCTTTTGATCTCACAGAATGCATATGAGCATATAGGATATGTAGACATGAAGAACAAAAAAGTGAAAAAGATAACTAGTTCTTGAATGTTGCTACTTACGGACCCCTAAATATTAACCGCCTCACATTAAAAAATAAATAAAGCTACAGTACACACATTGTCTACATTTACTTTGGATCTATAGATCCTAGTGATACTGTTGGACATGCAGCTTCACATATGACATACAGATTTTGCATGAATGTAGTTCCAATTATTCCATATGTTGCATATAACCCTAAACAAAATAAAGTGAAGATGGAAATATATCAGAATAAAGGCATGAGATGTTTATGGAAGTACCAGTAAAGATAACAAGACCATCTGCAGCTACTCTTGCCAAGTCCGGAAGGGTCTTGTTAAGATACTTTGGAGATAAATAATCCAGTGCATCTGACACTATTACAAGCGAAAATGATTTTGGCCTGTAAGGTAGAGGGAACTTGATATCAGCTACACGCACAATGCCCTTGCGAACAAGGCTCTTGCAGCTACTATCAGCATCTTCCAGATCATATGGTTCCACACCCCAAGCTTCAGTTTCCTCTTCTTTCCACAGTTTAGAAACCACAGAACAAGTATCAGGGCCCACATGCAAAACTTTATGCATGCTGTCACCATATGCTTTCTGCAGAACAGGTATTGCCTGATGAACCTCTGCTGTGCAGGAAACACCTGTACAAGTGAAAAAAAAAATTGTGAAAAATCACAAATAACTGCTGTCATACTTCTTTAACTTATCTAACTCAACAAAATGTTTACGATTCTATTCTACCTACAGTCATGTCCCATAGCTATCGAAATATCCATGTTCTTTGTTTAAGAATAATATTACAAATAATTTAACGGGAAACTAGCGCTGAAGTGTCTCAAACTCTCAGTGTTCCAATAGTTGCCCATGTCTTCAGCCACTCAACCAACAATTTGAGGCGGAATCCGCAGAAACTTGGGTTGTCAAATCACAGGTGAGAATAAATAACATAACACAGTGAACTTGTAAGGCTTAGAGCTTTATCCAATTAGGCTTGACCTTGCTGCAGTAACATAGGCTTTCAATATGATAGGATTCACCAGAAAACACATTATTGAACTCAATCAATCAAGTGACACTGGCGGACGGAGTTAGCCCATACTACATATACTAGCTTCAAACTTTCCGTCAATTAGCATGCAAAAACAAGGAAAATCCTTATGAACTAAACATGCACTGGGATTCACATTATAATGTTAGTTATATGGCATAAATTGCACAGTAAGTGATGCATCGATACACTTACATTTAGCTCTAAGCATTTACATAGTTCTCATTTATAATACTTGAGATGTAACTCTTTATAGATCCCTGGTAGGAGATACATTTTGTGATTCTTTGCTCATAATTAATGTAGCTTAATAAATTATTATCAAACTAATCCAAATACAAGTATTTTAGGATAAAAAATTGTGAAGCAAATAAAAACTGTGTTACCTTCCATCCTGTTGAAGGACTCCTTATCACTGCCACCTGATAAAATTAAATAATAAAAAAAATCCTAACTCAATTTACACTTTCACATAAAAGAATATATAAAAAATTCCCTAAAAAATAACAAAATCTACCTGATCCAGTGTAAAAGTATCCAATTATAAGAAACGCGCCCTGAGAAAATTTCAAGAAACAACCTAATCAAGTTACAAATATTCAAAATGAAAAATTAAAAGAAAAAAAATCGAAATCGTACCACAAGGACGAGCACAATCGAGAGCAATGGCGAGGTTTTCGACTTCGGATTCAGCGAACCGACCATCGGGATGCTTCCGCCATCGCCCAAACGCCGAGACGGAACTGCTCTCCTCGACATCGAGAAACTTCTCGAAGCGAAAGCTTCAACCTGATTCCAGATCTAAATCTCGATGGACGTGAAATCGCCCTAGAAATCGAAATCAACAACTCAAAATTAGCGGGAAAATGTACCTTTGATCTGAGATCTGGTGCTCTCGTCGCTGGATCTCAAGCTTCGACGGGTTAATGGAGCGATTATTTTGCAGAGTGAGCTAGCTAATTTCTGATGGTATTTCGACAAATTTTTTTTATTATTCTTTTCGTCGGTAGCGTTTTTGGGGACCGTACGATTTTGATCCCGCCTTGCTAAAGTTTGAGAGTAAATATTTTGTTGGTTAAGATGGAATTTAACCAACCTCATATTTTCTTTTTTAATACATTTTTTAAAAAAAACTTGCACGTATGCGACGCAATGTCTAATGGTTTTTCAATCACACCGTAAAAATAAAATATTTCGTACATTAGGTATTGGATGTGTCATTTCTTTTGTCCTTAAGAAATAATAAAAGGTAACGCATATATCGAAAAATAACAGGCAAAATGATATAGATTTTCCCGCAAGGTTGGGTATCGATTGAAATTTGATCGTAACATTCTCAAGGAAACGCTCTATGGAGTTTTATCAGTTCATTGATCAAAACGTTGCATGAAAAAAAAGGGGCTATTCGTTGTCCCATCATAAAAATAAAAATAATAATAAATGGAAATTAATATGTACAATATGCCACAGATATAGGTAGTGTTTAATTGTTATTAACCGTTATTTCAGTTCAGCATGTTAAATGAATGAGGTGATAAATTATAAACCATTTCTCCGCTTAACAATTATTTGTCCAGTGAGGCTCATAAGAATATGCATATATCGTTCCAGCTTTCGCACGAGATTAGAGTCTAGAGACTAATACCTCATTACTTATCTCATTAATATCCTATTTCTTTTATAAAAGAAAAAAATTCATGTTTCTTAACAACCTCCATTGGGCCTGAATTTAAACATAGATATGAGTCTTATGACCCAAGGTCAGCTAGCTTTTGGGTTTGGGCTTCTTCTGGGCCGATTGTTCGTCTCTATCCTGACATCTGCCTTCCCATAAATTTTCCCTCGCTCCCTCGAATTCTCGCAAATCCAAACAAAAAAATTCGAAAAAAATGGCAGAGATGTCCACGTCATCTCATCCCCAACCTCCCACCGGCGGTGAACAGATCCGACGACCAAACCCTAACTCCGGAAGTACGGAGGCTGCGGCGGCGGACCCCGGATCATCTTCGGTGGGCCCCAGGTCCAGTATGATCAGTTTTGCCTGCGATGCCCAATTTGGTAAAAGAATCGCTAGAAATCTCCCCAAATTTATTTAATCCCAATTGATAATATATAATGTTATGATCAATTTGTTTTATTGTAGAAAAATGAAGCAGGAGGGGCAAATTTCGGGGGGGGGGGTGGGTGGGCGCAAGTGGGAGTGCGGGAAGCGATGGAGGTGTCGATGATGTATAACTTCATGTAATCAGATTTCTTTGGATTTCTAATTGCAGTAAAATACCAGAAAGAATACCATAAGACTACGGAAGTGCTGTAGCAAGACTGGGGACTTAATTATCTAAATTTAGTGTGCAATCCCTTTCATCGGTTCAATTTGTAATATAATTTTGTTTGATGCAATGTGCATGCCTTATTTTAGAGAGTGTTTACGTTAGAAAGATACTTGCATGGGTAAGTGGATTTTTAGAGGAGTTTAGGGTCCCATAATCCTCCTTGATGGCTGAAAACCGACGTTGAAGTCAGTGATAGATTAAACAAATTTGCTAAATGCAGAATCTAGTTTCATGGCATTGTTCATTGTTCTTGCGTACCTTGGGGTAGTGGAAATTACCCACTATTTGTAGAGGGTTGGTAGGGGAACATTGGTAATTTTGATCGGGTCGACGCAGTCTGTCGGTCTGACTGTACTTTACATGTGTCGATATTCAGTTGAATGAGTCACTTTTGCGTTTAACGCAACAGGGGAAAAATGGTTGAAGTGCTGACATTGTCTGAGGAGTCATTTTGACTTCGGCCCAAAGAGTCATAATGACTCTGGCCATGCATTAAATGTGATGACGACTGGGCGCCGAAGTATGATATTGCTGAAGCTAATAGGTCGTCTCGTCATTTGAGGCATTCCTTAGTGAGAGTCCGAGCAGAAGACATCTTTCATCTCAGACTTTGATTTTGTTGCGTCCAGTGGAAGCGGACTCAATCCACAACAAGTCGGTAAGCAATGCACAAAGAACACAACGAGCACAATCCACAATCCAAACAGCCAAGATCAATCGCAAACATAGAGAATTACGTGGTTTGGCAAGATGGCTACGTTCATGGGGAGAGGATTAGGAGATTTCACTATATGGAGGAGAAATACAATGAGTTATAACTCTCAAACAATTAAACTAACCCTCACCAACAAGATCTCACTCACCTACTCATAATCTCCCTCTAAAAGTGCTCAATTTTCTATGATCAACTCTGTACAGAACACCCCTTTTTATTTTTTATTTATATATAAACCCTAACTCTAAAACAGAATAGGATTTTGTTTTCTCGACCCGACATCGGTCGACCGATATGCTCAATTGGTCGACCGAATGCGAACATGAAAACATGCACAAAAGAAAATAACTTCAATCGATCGACTGATAGATCCTATCGGTCGATCGTCTAGAGGAATTTACAATACTCGGGATCTCAGGATCATATCGATCGACCGATAGGATTTATCAGTCGACCGACCAGAGAGATTTTTCAACAGATTCTTCTAGCAGATCTCGGCTTGAAGACGCCTTTCGTCTCGAACTTGGGCTGCTAGAGTGATCAGCGATGCTCACACCTGGATCGAGCTTTCATATTTATAGGACTCAATTAGTTCATCATTACATGTGGCCGACTCTCAAGAGCTTATTAGACTTGGTAATTTTCATGATATAACAGAGAGTATCTAAGTCATATTATTTGTGTTGGGGATTCATCCTATCAACAACAGGTCAAATAAACCTCTCGTGGAACGTGCCCTCCGGATCTTGTGTTGAAAAAAGGCAAGAAGAAATTATAGCAAATAAAAGAAAACTTTGCAAGAAAAAATAGAAGAGAGCACCAAAATTTTAACGAGGTTCGGCAACTTGCCTACGTCCTTGGAAGCCACACAAAAAATTTTCTTTGAATATTAAAGAAGATTACAAAGCTTGTAAGAGATGATCTCAAACTCCTTGAGATCACTCAAAAAACTCTCTTTTTATTTCTCTGAAAAATCGTCGCTCAAGACGCTGCAAAAATCACCACAAAAAAATGCTCTGGAGATTGCTCTGGAAAACTCATGTTTAAGTGGCGGTCAGGGTTCCCTATTTATAGGGAAACCCTAGGTCAAAACAGATTAGGAATCTGTTTTCTGCGAGTTCGTCTGACTGCGAAGCTCGCCTGTATGACTTATGTTCGCCTGCACTTAGAGCTCGTCTGCACTTGGAGCTCGCCTGAACCTCCAAAGCTCGTCTGATCTTCCAAGTTCCCTGAACTTCCAAAGCTCGCCTGAACTGCAGGTTTGTCTGAACTCAGCTTTGAGCTTCGCCTGAACTTCTATGTTCATCTGAATTATCAAGTTCGCCTGATTTCTTAACTTACTGAAATATTTGCTTTGCGTTCTAAGGTTTGGGTCTACACCCAAAACCAACAATTTGTTCTGCAGAGTATGATTGCATAATTACGTTCATATTTTTAGAAACCCATAACCATTATTATTAAGCATTTGCTGACTATTCAGTTGCATGACTTTTTCATCGTCATACTTAGCTAGTTAGACTGGGGTTTAGCTTAAGTCTAGATTTCTTAGTGTTTACGCCGTTATTGCTGCAATAATGCATAGTTGTGTGAAAAGCATGTAAAAAATTTATGATTGAAGAAGAACAATAAAACTAAAACCTTTCTTGTCCTCTTATTCTTTTGAATTATTGTTTATGTGATTAAATTGTAGATATATTATAGGATGCACACCAATTATTTATTTAGTTTATCTTATGTCAGCAAATCTTTAGTTTGCATATATGTTCGTTTAGAAGGTACCCTGTCCAAGCTTATTGAGGTCATCATCACTAGCATCTATGACGCCCCAAATGCCTGGGTCATCTTCAAACAGCCAATCAGCATTAATGCAAAGTACCCTTGTGTTGGGGTTGAACACACAAACGACAACCTGTGCCTTTCCGGATCTTGTGTTGAGAGTAGGCAAGCAAGACACCACAGCAAATAAAAGAAAACTTGCAGGAAAAAAACAAACAAAAAAAGAAAACATTAGATTTAACGAGGTTTGGCAAACGTGCCTACGTCCTTGGAAGCCACATCAGAAATTCTTTGATTAATTGAAGAAGATTACAATGCTCGCAATAGGCCACACTCTCTCTACGATCTCTGATCTCCAAGTGTCGTTAAAACCCTCTCAAAGACGTCCTCACATAATCCTAAAATATTTTAGGAAACATATATATACTCAGCCCAAAAACAGATTCTAACCCGAACCAGGAAACTACCTGACCCGACTTTGGTCGACCGATAGCATTGCATCGGTCGACCGATATCATTGCCTCGGTCGACGAGCAAGAACCCTATTTTCTACAGGGTTTCTCGTGCACGTTTTCGGTCGATCAGGGCAAGCCCGCGGTCGACCGTCCCGAAACTCCTGTACTATTTTTTTGGCTTCACATCGGTCGACCGACGAGCTTGTGTCGGTCGATCGATAAGAGGATTTTTGTGTAGCTTATGATTTTTGATTCCAGGTTTGGTTATCCACTCCCGAAACCAACAATCTCCCATTTGGAGACCAAACTGTCATCAACGAGCTCTCCCGAACTCCCGTCGTCTTCGCAAACATCTTCTCCTATCCGGAAAAATTTCATTCTTCAATCAATATCTTGGTGATCCCGTCTATCCTCTTAGTGTGACTCTACCTTCGTCTTCTACGCGTGAAGGCCAACTGAAGTTACGCACAACTCCAGTTTGTCGGTGGTCATTGCTTTCGTCAACATGTCCGCATGATTTTGACTCTCCAAAATCTTCTCTAATTATAACTTGTCGTCCTCTATCAGCGAGCGTATGAAGTGGTAACGTACGTCGATGTGCTTCGTTTTGACATGATATACTGGATTCTTGTGAAGGTGTATAGCACTTTGGCTATCACAATAAAAAACGTCGTTCCCCTGCTTCAAACTCAACTCTTCCAAACACCCGGTCAACCAAATGTTGCTTCCCATCTTACTTATCAGATATCGTAATATCCACTTCACGACCTCCT